TGTGTGTGTGTGTGTGTGTGTGTGTGTGTGTGTGCGTGCGTGTGTTTGTGATATGTGTGTGTGTGTGTGTTGTGTTGTGTAGGTGATGGAGAGCTGCAGCAGTACGCCGACATCTTCAAGCAGAATCACATCACAGGACAGAGGCTGCTTCTGCTGTCCGAGACGGACATGAGAGATCTGGGTGTGACATCTAAAGGACACATCATACATCTGAAGGTATCAGGCTGCTTCCTCCAGAACATTTTTAAGTGCTAGCACTGGTGCTAGTGTGCCAAACAGCTCATTGGCACTAGGGGTGTGTGATATTGACAAAAACTTATATCTCTATATTTTCTGGGATTTTATCGATGACGATAATTAGACGATATTTTGCTGAGTGTGTTATTGTGCTGGTACCTTAAGGACTGCCGAAGACAGCTGACTCCTAATGTTTTTAATATTCTTCATATTCTGTGTGGTGGTCAGTTCATACTGATAGAAATTTATCTTTTCCAATAAGTTTGAACAGATTTTTGCATTTTATGGGCATTTTTACCTTTATAAAGCCATTTTTTCTTAAAGTGTCCATTATCTTTTGAGTCAAATTCTTACATTTAATCAGAGAATTAGAATAATAAGACATTTTGGCTGTTACCAAACAAATTAAATCAACACAGAAGCTGCATTTCAAGTGGCATTTAGATGTATTTACACACATGTATTTTGTTTAATGCAAGACATGAATGCATTTAACCTGCAATTACAAATGCATAAATAATGTTTTGATATATTAAACATAAAACGTTGAATACTGATATTTGAAATGATTTAAATCATGAAAAAAAAAGAAAAAGCCGAAATGTGAAATGAAAACCACCAGCAGGTGGCAGCAAAGCACTGTTAATAAGTGAGTCATTGCGATTGAACCGAATCATTTAAACGGTTGATTCATTCAGGAACGAAACACCGTCATGTTGCTCAGAGACACAAAACGGCACTGTGGCTGTATTCAGCATGATTTTTGTTGGCGAAATAGAGCAAAAACAAGCAATATGGTGTCTAAAACGTAAGTCTCTTAATTAACTTATTGTTTATTGAATTCAGTGTCACATTTGTAATCCATGGTCATTTTTTGAAAAAAAAACGGCACTCAAGCAATATGCTGTCTAAAACGTAAGTCTCTTAATTAACTTATTGTTTATTGAATTCAATGTCACATTTGTAATCATTTTTGGAGAAAAACGGCACTCTTAGTGTGAAATTTAATAACTATATGAAGTGGTATAAATATATACATTTTCTGAATTTATGATCATTCTAAATGCATTTTAATAGACTGAATCATGCAGTGAAAGAAAACACACTAAATGCACACACACTAGTTTAGACTTCACTTAATGTATGCGCGCGCTCTGTAGGGGTGTTTTGAATGGTTTTTGCAAAATACTCGATAATGTCAAATCGCACATCGTTAAAACAACAATTACGATATTATCGCAGACGATATATATCGCACACCCCTAATTGGCACACATGTAAATGTATTAGCACACTGAAGAGTGATATTTGAAATTGTTGAATTATTTTTAAATAATTAATTGTTACATTTGTTATTATGATTATTTCAAACTAGGCATGTGACAGTATCGAATTTCTATTTTGCGAAAATTGCTGCAGCTTTTATCACGGTATTATTGTTATCGTCTTATAACAAAAACAACTGAACATTTAAATACAATAAATCAATACACAAAAATGTATAAAGTAAACAAATGTTTTAAACTGATTAAAGTGCAAAAGAATGATAAAGAACCTTTAGTTTCTCAACGATGCTTAAACTGTGCTCAGAGGGTCCAGGATCGCAATATGAACAATATGAAGACCAAATGATTTGAGGAATGCCACATTCTTTTCGGAGAATGAAACTATATTTTAACAATCGACTGATTCGTGTCTTGGAATTCTTTTTATTTCCAGCCAAGGAATTTTAGAAATGTCTGTGACAGCATTGATATTTTAATGAAACTCAAATAATGAAATGAATAGTTTGTCTTCCTCTGGGATACGCTGGAAACTGACACCACACGTCTGGTCCTGTAAGGCATTCATCTGCGTGCTCCATCCATAGAGAGCCTGATTTGTTGAATGAATTACTCTAGATGTATATGACATATGCCAGAGTCATAAGTGATACACAATGGTATTAATTGTTGTTTTGCTGCTGAAAGTCCATTAAGAGGTCATAATTATGTTACATTCACACACAGCTGGTCATTGGCTGATTGTCAGTGCGCTGCATAAATCCATCTCGTGATGTTTTAAACAATATGTCAAATCTTTCTTTTTCAGACCGAAATTGAGAAACTTACCCACGACTACCTGAACCTGTTCCACTTTCCGCCGTTGATAAAGGCATGTGGTTTTTTGGTTTCATTGCTTCTTACATCAGAGTTGATGGGATTTTGCATTTGATGTGTGGGGTATTAAAAATAAAGAAAATTGAATCATAAAACTACTATTTTGCTTTGCATTAATAAGTGCAGTTACTAATAATAATACACGGTTATTTCTTGGTAATGCATATTTGACAGTAAAGCACTGAGATTGAGTTGGGAAGCATACAACATTTACTTTTAATAAGAGTAACATGTGCAAAATCTAATTTTGTATGCGCTCTAATCTTATTAAATGCACCATTATTCTTCTACCATTATTCTTTAGTATTATACTGAACTGACCAAAAACTTCAGGGATTATAAAAGGAGTGCTTTGAAGAAATTCACAAATTGAAGACTTTTTTTTTTTCAAGTCACTTTGTGACTTTTATTATTGCATACACAAAAAAGTGTAAAAATTTGTTTTTTGTAATTGTGATTTTACAATATTAAAATATATAGCAAAAAAATTGGAAATGAATGACTCATCTGCTGCCATTTACTGGTTATAATGGTAATTTGATGTTACCTTTTTATTTTAAATAAGTGTTACAAAGTATATTTTGGTCATCCCATTAAAAATAACATTTAGAGCTTTAAAGTGACACAAATAGTTGTGTGAAATACTTGAAAGTCATTGAAAAGTGCTTGAATTTCTCTCTCAAAAGGTTGTACAAACCCTGAAATGAATAATGTAATAACATTTGACTATTTCTGCCTCAACACCATGCATGGTTATAGTTTTCGTTACTACTTCTGGTGCTCCATCCATAGAGAGCCTGATTTGTTGAATGAATTACTCTAGATGTATATGACATATGCCAGAGTCATAAGTGATACACAATGGTATTAATTGTTGTTTTGCTGCTGAAAGTCCATTAAGAGGTCATAATTATGTTACATTCACACACAGCTGGTCATTGGCTGATTGTCAGTGCGCTGCATAAATCCATCTCGTGATGTTTTAAACAATATGTCAAATCTTTCTTTTTCAGACCGAAATTGAGAAACTTACCCACGACTACCTGAACCTGTTCCACTTTCCGCCGTTGATAAAGGCATGTGGTTTTTTGGTTTCATTGCTTCTTACATCAGAGTTGATGGGATTTTGCTTTTGATGTGTGGGGTATTAAAAATTAAGATAATTGAATCATAAAACTACTATTTTGCTTCTATTTTTTTCAAGTCACTTTGTGACTTTTATTATTGCATACACAAAAAAGTGTAAAAAATTGTTTTTTGTAATTGTGATTTTACAATATTAAAATATATAGCAAAAAAATTGGAAATGAATGACTCATCTGCTGCCATTTACTGGTTATAATGGTAATTTGATGTTACCTTTTTTATTTTAAATAAGTGTTACAAAGTATATTTTGGTCATCCCATTAAAAATAACATTTAGAGCTTTAAAGTGACAAAAATCAATGCTTTAAAGTGACTGTTTATTTCACACAAATAGTTGTGTGAAATACTTGAAAGTCATTGAAAAGTGCTTGAATTTCTCTCTCAAAAGGTTGTACAAACCCTGAAATGAATAATGTAATAACATTTGACTATTTCTGCCACAACACCATGCATGGTTATAGTTTTCGTTACTACTTCTGGTTTGATCTCTCTAGATCTCAAAGCAACCTTAGAACTGATCAGAGCTGATAAACGGTCTGCGCTGTGCGTTATGATTTGTTGCGTTTGCCCTTTGATGTTTCTCATATGCAACAGAAATGGCAGCGCTTATGAGTTGGTCGCACCAGTGTGACCGCTCACAAAATGTAGTCGCACCGGCAGAAAAAAAGGTCACAGTAATGTATTTACATGTACATCCACTCTTAGGATGGTTTGGCCACTGAGGAAGCAGAGGAAGAGTGGAGGAAGACTGTAAATCTGGAGTTGGTGTTTGGGTATCACTGGAAAGCAGGCACAGGCCAAACGGTAAATCACACCACTACATGTGTGTCATAGTTACTGATGAATCTATGATACAAAACTCAGTCCATAAAATATGCTGCGATGCTGTTATGAGTGTTTTGAGGGTTTTGTGGGTGGTTACCAAGGAGTTACTAGGTGGTTGCTAGGCTGTTGTTATGTGGTTGGTTGGGTGTCAAGGCTGTTGTTTGGTGAAAATCGTATGTGGACCAATGATGTAATGCTTAGTTTTTGTCATATCTATTAAATTATTCAAAATACATTAGAAATGCTGTTTAGTTTTTGCATTAACATTTATTTGAATAGTTTTGAAGCATAAACTCAAAAATGTCTGGGTGATAAAACTGCTCTGATATCATAATGAAGAAAAAAGCTTATTAAGAAAACCTTATTTAAGTATTAAGACATAATCTTTTTGAAAATAAAAATTAAATAATGTTTTATATTTTAATGTAAGTTATTTTATAACTTATACTTATCAAAACTGATTCACTGTTTATAAATATTCGAAAAACTTCAACATTTTAATTTTGACATTTTTCAAAAGTCAAATCATAGTCATGCGGTCCAACCAACTAGCATGCAGAGGTATGCAGAAAAAAAAGAGGTATGCAGACCCTCATGACTGTATGTCAAGGACAGTAAGTCTCTTAAAACATTGAATAACATTTTATGACAATGGAGCATTAATTCAGGTTGTAAAATGTCATGCGGTGCGACTCCCCAAAATTTTTTCTGAATTCAAAAATAATTTGATATTTGTAAAAAATTATAATAATAATAACAAATAACTTGAAATACATTTTTAAAAACTTTTAGGAAATTAATGATTGAGATGTGGACAATCACATGCATTCAAGATGTTTACAAAACATTTCAAATTGGAAATGGTACAAAAATGATTACATTTCCAAAAAAGAAGAGATTTTCCCTGGTCATTGACTCATGTCCGATCACTTAAAAAGAGTAATTGCATTTTTCGTGGTTCTCTTTAATGTATGTAAACCCTAAGATTTCTTGGTTATTTGCTGTCATTATTTTTGCATCACGGTCTGTGTATCATCTCTTGTGTTAACGGGGCTTTTGTTGGAGATGTGATGTCTTGTCATAACTGCGATGTTTTGTCGCAATTGCAGTGCTCCTCGATTTGAAGTTGTCTTCCTCAAAGATGCCTGTTATCGGCCTCCTCCGAAGATAGACCACTGTCTCGCTAAATGCATTTTCAGTTCCCAAGCCTCTTGTTTTTGTTCCTCTTTTTCGTTCTCTTAAAAAAGGCTGCGAGAGATAAACACATTTTCATCCAAGACGATGCATAGCATCCACCCCCTCTTGCCGGCGAGCCTTTGTTTGGGCCCCTGACTCAGGAGAGCAACTGCGTCTTCACTTGCCGTTTGAATTTAATCAAAAATTTAGCCAGAAGTCATTTTCTTTTTAAAAGGCAAATGTTATTTAATCTTTCAGCTGTTCATTGTCCCATCATAAATAGTCCCCTTTCAAGGCGTGCGGCGGGGCTGAAGCGGGGCCGCTAATTGCCTCCTATTTCTCTGACATGTGGTGGTTTGGTTGGGAGGAAGCTCAGCGGGAAGAAGGAAACAGGAGTCTGAGAAAATGAGAGCTAATTATTTTCCCCTGCCTGGTGTCAGCCTCCGTGTCAGCCTTGTTTTTACAAACTGCAAGGTTTTTTGCACTAAATAAAACAAACCCGAGTTTTTTTTTTCGCCTTTTTTCGCTCGCTCGCTCTCCGTCTCCATCTCTCTCTCTCTCTCTCTCTCTTTCCTGGCGGTGTCGTGGTACCAGCTGCACTTCTCAAAGCCTAAATGAGACCCTGCGATTGTGCTTTGCCCATCTGACAGCACAGAGTGTTTCTGTTAATGAGGATATCAGGGCTTAGTCGCCAGAAAGGTGCTGAATTATGTATGAGGTGTCATTAGACGCTTACCACGCTGGCCGTCATTACCGCACATTGTTTCTGCCGCTGCTATTAGGCAGGGCTAACGTTTGGCAAACGTACTGGACCCCTTTAAGCCCCGTCCAAAACAAACAGGGATGCGTTCACGATTGCCTTTTCACGCTTCCTCGCCTCTCACACCAAGAAGAGCGCTCGTGCTCTGTCAAGATGTTGTGGAAATGTGAACGGCCACGTGCTTTAAACTGTTACCGTTGACCTCGGCGCCGGGCTGGCAGATTGGACGGATCATTACCGCTCTGCCCAGCACGCTCGGCTCAGCCGTGTCTAGCATGGCCTCTCAGTAAGGGGCCTCATCTCCATTGCTAATGTGAATGAGAATGGATGTTAAGGTCTCTCGCTCTTGTTATGCCTGAGGAACGAACACGGCCGCTTCTCTGCACTCTGATCTCTCGTAGCTTCAGTCTTCACATCATTCTGTCTCAGAAGCACATGTGTGCGTGAATGAATACTCTCCCGTTGACATTCAAGCATTCATTCTCACGCTTGGCTTCCTCCAGGATATGTTTGCATTTACACGCCACACCTCAATGCCGCATGGCTTAACAACAGAGCAAAGTTCAACATTATCTGTAACACTCGACAAGCTAGTGTTAAATGTGTCAATTTATAAGCATTCATCGGTTGTCCTATTGTACGTATTCAAGGCCCAGAGACACCGAATCATCATAAAAGAACGAAATGCTGACTTTGTTTGCGGTGTATTATGTCACCTGTGTCTTGGCCAAAAAAGCTGTGCTTGAACACACCGCAAATACTATAGCCAGTGGCCAACTAGTGACCAACCAGGCTCCATACCAGCAGGTGGCGGTAGACTGTATGTCAAATCAAAAGAAACCAGAATTAGAACTGCAGATATTCAAACTGTAAACAAAGAAGTGCTTAATGTTGGGTCCGAGTTCACCTCGACAGTCAAGAGTTGAGTCCTAGTACTTAACCAATTGCGTTTGAGAGGGAGACGTTTATTAATGTCTTTTAATTACACGGCTCTGTGGAATACTTGATTCTGATTGGTCATTCGCACCATCCAGCAGTATGTTATTCCCAGATAACAACCGCCAAATTGAATAACACACCGCTCATCCGGGTACTACGAGTTATCTTGACCGGTACTACTTATATGCTTAACGAGTCACTCCGCTATCGTTGACTGTCTGGCGCCATCTTGTGACTGAAAACACTTAACCACCGCGTGTTACAATGGAAGACTTCAGCATTAATTTCAACATTAAGCTTCGCGTCGGGGTCCTGATCACCCTGTCGGGGTTTATTCTGAGATAACAACCGGCTGGATGTACATTATCCCTTACTTATCTTAATATTATGCTGTTACTTCTTTTTTTAACTTTCGTGTTACGCGTGGCATGGATTTGTCTGTACACCCAAGTCCGTCCAAATCCAAGTTAAACTCTATCCCCAAATGCTCAGATGAGATGTCAACTCTGCGTGGTCCATCTTGACTTTGTTGTTTGCTTGTTTTCGTCACTTACATTATTCTGCTTGTGCACTGGTTCGTGAAGCTGAACAGCCAATCAGAGTGGTCTCTCTCATCAACAGGCTCTGTCGCCAATTCAACATGCACTAGAAAGTTCCATCCGTGTCCAGTGTCCCAGCTATTTCTCTGCAGAAGTCATCACCGATAAAAATATATTGGCGTCTCTCTTACATGCTGCATCAACATGACTGCTGTTCCTGAAACCACGCCTTCTTTCTTTGCGTGCACATTTGGGCGGCATTATGCAAATCTTCCCACATAGCGACGTAGACATGTGGGGGCGTGTTAGAACGAGCCGTTTTAGGTAGGCGTGGCTGACTCTTAACTTTTATAAAGAATACCTCTTTGGATTTGAGACTTTAGTCTTTGCAACTTTACAGATCTTCTTTATGCACCAAGAGCTTGTAACCCTCCAAAGAGAAAGGAACAATTTGCGAAAAATCGCATCATATGACCCCTTTAAACTAGAATTGCGTGGATCTCACTGGGCTCACACAAGCGCTCTTCAACACAAGTCTTTATTGTTGTTGCCGTTTCCAGTTGTTGTTCTGCTTCTTCTGTTTCATTTTTGACTGTGAAACAATGGTTTGGGGTAGTGCAAAAAAGCTAACTATTTGAATAAGACCACCTCTGAGCCATATACGGAGTCCAAGGCAGCAATTCATGTGTCTTGTGTCAACACACACGCCCCACAGAAGAGAAGGGTGGGGTGAGCAGTAGCTCATTATCATTTAAAGAGACATGCACTGAGAGCTGTTTTTGACAAGGTTAAAAGGGTGTTGTTTTACACAACCATTGAGGAATTGTAACCAAAGTATGTTACAGACATTTCATGAAAACCCTAAAGAATCATAGCAACCTGTAGAAAATTGGCATCCGATGTCTCCTTTAAAAGAGGGGGCAACCACTGCAGAAACACCCTGGCAACCACCCAGAATTCCTCTGGAGCTGTATAGCAGCATGCCAAATACTCAGAATAGTTGACAGGCAAGCATCACTCAAATTGAATGACACCTCAAATCATGAAACTTATGATGGGAGGTTTTGCTATTTGTGATTGTATTTACCATTTTCACCCGTTTTTTTTCCCCCCACAGAAATTCCTGAAAAGATTCTGTGTACTTACACTGAAAGAGGGAGTTAGAAGACCAATATCATGGAGATGACTTGAGAGTAGCCAAAACACCCTAGAAACCACATAGCAATTGCACTAAAAAACACCCAGAACACCTTAGCAATGTCCTGGCAATCACCCACAAGTTTTGTATGGAGAAGAAGTGACAGAAAATTAGAATTTTTATCTAAGCAATTAGATTTTAAAGTTTTGATTTTGAGGTTTGTGCTTTGCAAAAAAAGCCAATAAAGCTCTTAATGCAAATAAACCATCATCGTCCTCTAGGTTGTGCTGTTGGGTTATATCACCCTCAAACAGCTAAAATCATACAGGTCTTCATTTCTGTTTGTTGAAAACATGCATCATGTTTATGGCCACATTTACCAATACATGATGCTACACTTTAACCTCATTCTACCGACTGTTGTCTCATCTGTATCTCTGTCTTTCTGACCTCCGCAGGACTGCAAATGGAAAATGTACATGGAGCTTGATGGGGATGAGGTGGCAATAGCATATATCAAAGATGTGACCTTCAATGCCAGCAGACCAGATGTAGATATATTAAAGATGACCAAGGTGGGAAATGTCATATAACACTGTAAATTACGTCTCCATTTGAGGAATGCAGCAGACTGAGGTCGTGTAGCTGAGATGACTGTGTCATTATGATTCCTCACAACTATGTTTACTCCACCAACACAAGTTTTAAATGTGTTGCGAGTAGAAAGAAGACCCGATGCATGTTATAATGCTGTCATGGCTTTCAGTCTTAGGTTGATGTGCTTTACTGTTTGTGGTAAAATCTAAATTACTCTCCAGCCTCCGTTTGTGATGGATAAATGGATCGTCGGAATATCTGGCACACAAACCGTTGACTGCACAGTAAACTATGAGGTAAGTACTAGACAAAAGACTACAACCACAGTACAGTCAACATGAAATAGCACTTTATTTTACAGTCTTGTTCTGCGTGTATTTACTACATACTTACTATAGTAATTAGTAAAGGTACTAACCCTCAACTCAACCCTGAACAAAACCTAAAACCGTAACCCATGTTAAGCCCATGTAGCTACCTTATATAACTCACAACTTTCTTGGGTAAGTACACCAAAGTACAGTGCATATACTTCCATAAAATAAAGTGCAACCAAAACTTCCGAAATGTGCCTTTTTTATAGTGAAACTGCATAGTCTATAAGAAAAAATTGTAAGATGAGACTTCATTTTAATCAATGGTTAAAAACTACTGCAACAAATGTGGCAGAGCAAGTTTTGATGAAAGATTTATTTTTACTTATCATATAATAGTAAAAAGTACTATTTAGTATACTTTAAAAAGAGGACTTATTACAGAAATAATATATTTTAAAAGATTATACTGAATGCATGTTAAATGTAATTTCAAAATGTATTTCATGATACATTTTCTTGACATATGCTGTATGTACTGACAAGCATTTATGGTAAATAAAATATACTTTAACATAATTTCTATTAAAACTTGCTTGTCATGTATTTAAAGGGGTCATATGATGCTTTTTTAAAGATCATTATTTTGTGTATTCTCTCTCTCTCTCTCTCTCTCACTCTCTCGCGCTCTCTCTCTCTCGCTTGCTCACTCGCGCACACACACGATGCGCAAAACTCCGCATTTGAAGTCAATAGCAAATACTTAAACTAATAACAAAACAGTAGCTGATTCAGAAGCGCCAGATTGTCATAGCAAAGTCAGAATGACCTCCTCTCCTAGGTTCACGAAACGGTCGTCCATAAAATGCATCGCTGTTCTGTTGTAAGTGATCTTAAAGATTCCTAAATGCATCTACTTTCGGAAGGCCAAATAAAGTGCTTTTGCTTTCGCCTAGAAACACACAGCGTCTCCCTGACATGCTGCTTCAACACTAACTGCGGTTACTGAAACCACGCCTTCTTTCTTTGCGTGCACATTTGGGCGCATTATGCTAATATTTCCACATAGTGAGGTAGATATGTGGGGGCGTGTTAGAACGAGCCGTTTTAGGGGGCGTGGCAGAGTCTTAACTTTGATAAAGAATATCTCTTTGGTTTTGAGACTTTAGTCTTTGCAACTTCAGGGATCTTATCTCTGCACAATCAGCTTGTAACACTCCAAAGAGAAAGCAAAACTTGAAATCGCATCATATAACCCCTTTAAATATATCTGTAATTATGAAGCTACAATACAATACAATTTAGTGCATTTAAAATATATTACATTGAAATGTGATTTTGTATAACACACTGCAGTTAAAATGATAATCCAGTACTTTACATGTGCTTTAGTATATTAGTCAACAAAACAAAATAAAAGCATTTCTTTGAAGCACGACGAAAGATCAATAAAACATAATGATTTAAAATGGACTTAAAGTATAACTTTTAATTTGATTAATTATTTCAAAATGCACTTTTTAAAAGTGTACTGAAGTGTGAAACGGGCGTTAACATGAACTCTCTTGAGTGGCCTTTAATTGCATTAATATAAGTACAATTAAAAATATACTTTTAAGATTTGAAGTACACGACAAGTGTACTACTTTTTCACCAGGGTATGAATGCAAATTAAGAAAGTAAACGTTTGATTTTAATTTGATGTTACATATAAAATAGATGTTAAAGGCAACATTTCACTTGACATTTCTTTGTTATTTTAGTGTACTTTCAGGTAGTAAACTGATGTGATGTCTGTCGTTGTGATTTAGTACAATAATAGTATAACCCGTTTCATAAAACTCCTTATGTGCAAAAAAATTGTGTACAATTATTTGGGATATTTTGTAGTTAATAGAATGCAGCATTTTCAAATGTGCCATTAAGGTTATAAGTGGACATGTTTCAACTGGTAGCTTGTCTCCTGCCAGAGTAACGTGAGATCTCCTAAGTGCACGAGACATGAGCACAGAGTGCAGTGGAGACCAGACAGCGGGAGGGACGTGATCAGACCTGTAGAGCTGGCCATTGAGACGGCGCCAAACATCAGGGAAAGTTACAACAGAAGCAGGTCCAACTCAGGTAATATGATACTGATTAGTAGAGAGTTTGCTTGGTGTCATATTCAAATGAATTATATTCAACTTTCTTTTGAAAGTCAATATAATTCACACACACACACACACATATATGTGTGTGTGTGTGTGTCTGTGAATTATATTGAATCAAAAGAAAGTTGAATATAATTAATTTGAATTTATATATATATATGTATATATAATTTTTACACAAAATTGTATGTTGCATGCATTCATCATTCAACCCAAGGTTTGCTAAGACAAATATATATTCAAATATATTTTATATTAAAATATAAAAACAATCAATTGTATTTAATTTATAGGTAAACTAACTAGTTCCTACTGAGTAATAGCTTAATTTGGGCAATATTTGCAATACTGTTACTTTATTTTGTATGTTTTTATTTCAGTATTTATTTTTATTTATTTATTTAATTTTATTTTACCATTTTTGGCTGTTGTATTTGGAGATAAAAAATAAAAGCAATTACAAATTACAAACATTTTGATATCAGGGTTGCAGAAATTGCAAACCCCACATGAAATGAACAAAAATAAACCAGCTGAAATGATATTTAGTTTGCCCTTCCGAGATTGAATGTCCTTTCAGCCCTATTTTGCATATTCATGGAAAATGTCTTGGCTTGTCATTCTGTTCCTCGATCAGGCGTTGATCCCAAATGGATTCACAGTCTGAGAATGAAGCAGATTAGAGAGCATGCTGCCCCGGAGTCCACAGGCAAGATGACCCTCCCTCAGTTCCTGTCTGCCATCGGGAGCCAGTCATCGTACGCCGCTGCTGTGAGGAGATCGCCCAATCGCAGCCCTCTCACTCCATGGACAGACTCGCGGAGTTCCTCTCCCACCCTTTCTGTCAAACTCTCCACTATCCATCTGGGGTCAAAGGGCAGCAGCCCATCCAGCACGACATCTGACAGCACCTCGGAGCGAGAGCGGCCCCCTAGTGCTGGAGCTAAACACAACTACAACAGAAAAACATACTATGACCACACGTTTAAAATCACTGGAGGAGGAAGAGGAGAAGCAGAAGCCAGAAGGTTTAATCAGATATCACAGAGAGGATCCAGAGGCATCCAACATGCTGGACGGCCACGAAACTACAACTCTTGCATAACGCCATCTAACCACCAACGCCCAATACCAGGGATGTCAGTTGTCACTGAGGGGGTGAAGCAGAAAGGGGCGTCTGAAGAGGCCGGGTCTGGTGATGGGGACTGGATCAAAGTAGAAAGAAAGAAATCTAATAAACAGGAACATAAGCATCAGGAAGTGAGGCAGACCAGAGGCCGGCCGCGCAGAGGAGGGAGAGGTGGTGGACGTGGCCGAAGTTGAGCGTTTATAAAGCGTTAGGCTGATAGAAGGGGTTGGTAATGAATCACGTTTGATCTACTGTAAGGGCTGGAGAGCTGGTTTGTAACCAAAGCACTTAACCCCGGTTGTTCTTAGGGGATTGTAGGTGTACTGTAAGCAGTGGCGCAAAAAGGGGGTATGCCGTATATGCAGTGCATAGGGGCCAAAATCATTCTGTGAAAATCTTCTTTAATAAAATGTTATAAATAATCAAAAGCTTAGTTGTTAAAAAAATTATGCAATTGAACATTTATATTTAATGGTTGTTTCACATTTTAATGAGTTCAAAAATGTATTTATTATAAACTGAGTACATATCAACAGTTCACCCAAAAAAACTATGCATTAATGAGGACAGCAGTGTCTAAGTGAACTAACAGAGATGGATAGCTTACCTCTAAAAAAACAAATAAGTCGAGATATGTTTGTGAATGCTTGGCTTACATTTGAGAGAAACTGAGAAGATTGTTAGCAAGGATGCAAACTAGTCAGCTTTCGCCGAAAATCGCCGCTTTGAATTCCAAGTAGGCCATTTGTGTTGATCTGGCGTTTTTTTAAAAAAACTCTTGATACTTCATTCTTCAGTACCAAAAAAATGTGATTTTTAAATGTTATAATAATGATTTTATAATGTCTAAATGTAAATCTAAAAGCAAAATTTTTATGGGGTTATTATGACAATGAGCGACCCTCTGCAGCCATCTACTGGTTATAGTGGGAATATATTTTAATAGTGTTTATTTTCCACCAGGTGGCAGAAATCTCCCACTTAAGCATGGCAACATTTTTATTAATGATCTCTACAAGTAAAAATATGCACATTTTTTTAAAGTGAATTTTACATATAGTGTTCTCATTTTATATAAAATATACAAAAATATGAATAACTTTGAAGGCAAATGAATAATAAAACACGTAAATCCATCCAAACTCGCCTATCTAAAAAGTGAGCAATATTACGTGTAAAAAAAAAAAAAAAGTGTTATACAGTCTCTTTTTTTTCTCCCCCTCTCTCTTTTTTTTTTGCTGTGGCATTGAAAATGGTGGAGTGGGAGGGGATTTGCACTTGTTTCACTCCTGATGAGTTCGTATCCTTCCATGCACAAGCTAGTTACTGGGTTTTTGGTCATTGACTCGACTTACAGACAGTTTTCTGTGGGGGTTAGTGCTAGGGGATAGAATATACAGCACTGATCTTGCATACCCCTCAGAAAATGTGCGCTTGCGCCCCTGACTTTAAGTACACTTCAATAAAAGCATCTTCTAAATTGACACAGATAAAGGGTAATAGTTCACCATGAAATGAATATACTGATCTTAAATGTCAAATTATTATGCATTTTGTGAAAATTGTCTCTGCTCTTTTATTGTTGACATTACCCTCCCAGGTTTAAACTTGAAATTGCCTCTCTTGTGCTCACTGATTTTCTTTTATTTCTTGTTTTTAAAGAGTTTCTTGCTATGCTAAATACTTAAGTGATCGTAACTGAGGACTTTTTTTCTATTAAACTGTTTATGGAAGATTATTTCATTTATATGATATTAAAGATTTATTTATTATATTGGTGGAATTTGAAAGCCTTTGTCAATTTATAAGATTAATAAAAAGTTACTCTGCTTGTTTGATCTAGTCAGCATTTCGCGCGATTTATGTGCCCTTATGCAAATGAGCTCTGAGGTTTGGCGCCACAGCTAAAGATCCTGTAAGCGCGTGTAAAGCCAAATAAACATGGTTGTATTCACTTTTATTCAAATAACCCAGGACTTCTAATACGATTATATCAACAAGTGTATACTCGACTCATAATAAAAAAAATGATAATGCAGCTCTTGAATCTTCAGCCTGCTCGATTGCGTTACTGCGTTAGTTTACGGAGCTTCCAGGACTCGCGTGTGGCGCGAAGAGAGTCCCGCCTCTTCCAGAATTACCCGCCAACTTCCAGAATTACCCGCCAACTTCCAGACTAACCTCCGCGCCTCAGGACAGAGGGACTCATTCAGAGGACTCGGACGCATTGTGAACGTACACACCCTCAAGTCACAGCGAGCTCGACACAATGCGCTCCAAGGTACAGTCAAATATAATATAGCTTTTGTTTTCTAGAGACCTGCTGTTGTATGTGTGGCTTTGTGTTTTCTGAAGGAATAATGCTCTCGTGGCGTGTGTAAAGTTTGTTTCAACGCTATAAAAGAGTTAAATTAACCTTTTGAGCGATTAATCATGTCATTTCTTTGTTTGGTAACGTTACATAACTGTTACATGTATTGGTTAGTCCTGCTGGTTTAGTCAAATAGTATGCTTGTGTTTAGTGGGGGCAGGGGTCGTCCCAAACTTTAGAAAAATGTGATCAATGTTTGTTTGTGAAGTAAAATGGTAAGCCTTTAAAAGTAATGCATTACAATATTGCGTTACAACCTAAAAAAAAAGTAACTACGTTACTTTTTATGGAAAGTAATGCGTTACGTTACTTAGATATGAACAGGGCTTGGTTGTTTGTAATATAAGAAGTTATATTTATAGAAGAAAATGTTCCCAAGTTGCATCTCTACTGAACACCAGACTGATCTGGGCAGGTTTAATTTGGCGTGTCTGCTGGACTCTTCATGAATGGTTTGTATGTTGTGCACAGAGGCAGCAGGCGCCCCCCCCCTCCACCAGAATGAACCTGCGCAGTTACAGGAGCACTGCTGTGGTTATGGTGAGGGGCGTAAAATTTCTGTCACACGCTTGAGGTATTCAGCCAATCACAACGCACTGCATAGCTGTCCAATCAGAGCACACCTCGCTTTTCAGACCGATGAGCTTTGTAAAAATCAACACGTTTCGGAAAGGCGGGGCATAGAGGAGAAACAATGTACAGTATGCGGAGAATGTGTTTTTTTTTTTTTTACCGTAACCCGCATAAACACATTTCATTACACCAAATGTTCTTTTTTTTAGCAACGTCGTATGACCCCTTTAAGTCTACTTGAATATATTTTAAAATGTAACCTTTTGATGCAAAGCTGAATTTTCAGCATGATTACTCCAGTCTTCAGCAGTGTTGGGGGGTAACACATTACAGGTAACGTGAGTTACGTAATCAGATTACTTTTTTCAAGTAACTAGTAATGCATTACTTTTAAATTTACATCAAAATATCGGAGTTACTTTTTCAAACAAGTTACACAAGTTACTTTGTTTTCCCATTTATTCACTGACTCCTCTCCTGTCCCTTGTTGAGATAAATTAGGTGTGAGGTGCAGAGGTACATCCTTCAGCCTGAGCCTTGTTCATTTCACTTTTGGTGTGACGGTACAGTTGCTACAAATATAACTTTAGTTTTTTTTTTTGTTATTATAAATAAGCAAGCCCAACTTGGGTGAGAAGTAACAAAAAAGTAACCATGCATTACTTTCCAAATAGTTACTTTTTATAGAGTAATGCAAGATTGTTATGCATTACTTTTAAAAGTAACTTTCCCCAAATCTGGTCTTCAGTGTCATATGATCCTTCAGATATCATTATGATTTGCTGATTAAGAAAAAAAAAATGTATATCAGTGTTGAAAACAGTTGTGCTTAAGACTTATTTTAGGAACATAATGTCTTTACTGCCACTTTTCAGCAAGAATTCATTAAATTGATCAGGTTTTCACTTCTTTGAAAAGGAGAAATCTTACTGTCCCCAACCTGAGCTTTTGAACAGTAGTGTACATGCAGTCTCAAGCGTTCATGTTTTGTCATGTTAAATTGTAGTAATAGTGCCTCTGTATTGTTTCTTATTTTTTTTATTCTCCCCACCCCCCCCTTTTGCGTGTG